TCAAAAAAAAAAAAAAAAAAAAAAAAAAAGAAAATATTTTGTTAAATGCGAGACTTGTTATAGGAATAAGGAATTACTATTAAGTTTTTGTTTTTCTCTTACAGTAAACTGTAGCATTCACATGAATGAACAATAACTTAACTTCTGTTGTTCCATTTTAGAAAACGTTGTTGTTTGTAATCACACTCTACAAACTTTACAAGAAGGGCTCAGATATTTTTCAGGCTTTGCTAGCCAACCCAGGAGGAAGTGGTCTCCAAATTCAAGATAATAATAATCTCTTCCTGTCCTTGGGTCTGCAAGAGAAAATTTTGAAAAAACTTCAGACAGTGGAAAACAAAGTGAAGGACCTAGAGGGGATAATCATTGCTCAAAAACCAGCCACGAAGAGGGATTGCTCCTCTGAGCCCTACTGCAGCTGCTCTGACTGCCAAAGTTCCTAGCCCACATCAGGGTTTACTTCCCCATTTGAAATGTAAAACACTCCAGTGTTTTCCAGAAAAGCACTGTTTCTCTCATATGTGCAGTGGTGTATCAATAAAGATAGAGAACTCTATTGAAATTACCCTGCGAAGACTGGCTCTCTATTTAGTAGGGCTAAGCTTCTACTTGTATGTATGGTGGGGTAAAGTGGGGTATAGTAGCAGTTAAAAATGTCTCTAGGATTGCAGTGCACACTCAGCAGGCTGGAGACCATAAGCTGCCATAGAGGGGAGGATAGCTGGACTGGAATCTAAGACAGTAGGAAGAGAAAGGGGGGTGGTCAGGTATATGGCCTTGAGGTGCATGCTGAGGAGGCTGGACTGCATATAATAAAAAGTAGGAAAGTGCTGTTTGAGGGCCCTCAGTGAACTGTCCTTTAGAGGTAGGCTGACCCCTGTGCTGGTTTTCAGCCTAAAGGTATATATGCAGTCCAGGGGTCTCCTGCATTAATTACTCAAAAGCGGGCAAGGGTGGGGGTAGATATAGACTGACATAAAGGAGACTGATTTTATCCAACTTTTACTGATACCTACTCTATGCTAAGCATAAATTCCTAGGGATGTGATAATCCCTAGGAATCTTTCCTGAGTGTTTCAGGGGCACTCAGTTTGGCTGGACAAACAAATAATTTCAGATCAAGGAATTTAATATTGGGGTCATAACATTTTTTTGGGGGGGGTAGTGGTTAGAGTCTTGCTCTGTTGCCCAGGCTGGAATGCAGTGGCAGGATCTCTGCTCACTGCAACCTCAGCCTCCAGGATTCAAGTGATTCTACTGCCTCAGCCTCCTGAGGAGCTGGAATTACAGGTGCCTGCCACCATGCCTGGCTAATTTTTGCATTTTTAGTAGAGACGGGGTTTCACCATGTTGGCCAGGCTGGTCTTGAACTCCTGACCTCAAGTGATATGCCCACCTTAGCCTCCCAAAGTGCTGGGATTACAGGTGCAAGCCACCGTACCTGGCCATAACATCTTGAACTGAGTAGAATTCTCCTTGGCAGGGATGGAAGAAAGCAGGGATTCTACTCAATGTGTACCCTGATGAGAGAGAGAGATGGCCCACTGGGGAGGTGGCAGAAAATGATTCTCTCAGCAGGCCTCAGATTCCACTAACCTTATAGTGTTTGCATTTTTGCCACAATAAATGACATAATGGTCATTTGAAACACTGTGTAACTATCTGGAACCTAAATAATGAAATATTTCATATCCATAGAGGAGGTCTACAGAAAAAAAGTTTCATTTGGTATGCAAATGAAGTGATTTGTTGCCATGCTGGAGAAAAACTGGCTATGCTGCTTAACACCACACAATATAAGGCTGGGTACACTGGCTCATGCCTGTAATCCCAGCACTTTGGGAGGCCGAAGCAGGAGGTTTGCTTGAGTTCAGGAGTTTGAGACCCACCTGGGCAACATAGTGAGACCTCATCTTTACAAAAAATCAGAAAATTAGCTGGGTTTGGTGGTGCATGCCTGCAGTCTCTGCTACTCAGAGAGCTGAAGCAGGAAGGTCACTTGAGCCTGAGAGATTGCTTCAGTATCCTGGATGGCAGGACAAGACGCTGTCTTAAAAAAAAAAAAAAAATACAATATAGCAGTCTCCAAGAGGCATATTCCCAAGGGAAGGGTAATCTTGACCATTTGTAATTCCTGCCTAATGCACTGGAGTTAAAATACCACCCCTGGATGAGATTTCACCGTATTGTGTATTAAGTAGACAAACAGGTGGGTGAATACAAGGTGGGGTCAGGAAAGGCTTTGCAGAGGAAGTGACATTGAGGTGTCCCAGAAATGATTACATAGGCAGACAAAGAAATGGAAGATATTCTTCCTGGGTGAGATCATCATGAAAGTATATTTTTATTTTTTGAGACGGAGTTTCACTCTTGTTGCCCAGGCTGGAGTGCAGTGGCACGATCTCGGCTCACTGTAACCTCTGCCTCCCAGGTTCAAGAGATTCTCCTGTCTTAGCCTCCTGAGTAGCTGAGATTATAGGCGCCCACCACCATGCCCAGCTAATTTTTTATATTTTTAATAGAGATGGGGTTTCACCAGGTTGGCCCAGCTGGTCTGGAACTCCTAACCTCAGGTGATTCACCCGCCTTGGTCTCCCAATGTGCTGGGATTATAGCCACCGCACCTGGCCTGGAAGTATATTTTTAAAAGGATGGTTTCCTGGGCAACAAGGAGAGTTTCAGGGTGGCTTTGTTATTTCCAAAGATACAATTAAGGATTTTGACTTTAGTGCAAGACACACTAACCTCATACTCAAATATGCTTTAACTCATGATGTGGCAAACAGAACAGATGGGAATTAACAGTGTGTATTATCTGACAGTTTAGGTGAGAGGTTATTGTGCCACTGACGGAGTGTCATGCTAATTTTTTTGAGTCAATATCTCAATTATTGTGCTGTCTAAATTTCATTTCAGTCATATTGTCTTGGTTACCCCTCTCGAGTATATCAAAGGAAAATGTTCAAAGGGTTTTGCCTGTAATGAGCACTTTGGGAGGCTGAGGTGGACAGACTGCTTGAGCCCAGGAGTTTGAGACCAGCCTGGCCAGCATAGCGAGATCCTGTCTCTATTTATAAAAATAATTAAAAAAGAAGCATTTTGAAGAGTAGACTGATGTCAGGTAATGAAGGGCCTCAAAGGTCGTACCATATAGTTTGGGTTTTGTACTGTCAGAAATAGACCATTATAGGGGTTGTTTTTTTTCAACAGGGAGTAACACAGAATTAGTAGCCTATATGTGAGACAGAACATATAAGCTAGAAAGTAGAATGAGCTAGATGAAAAGGAAATAACAGCTGCTCCTGTTAGGGTGCACAGTGTGATAGAAACTGATGGGGTTACCTCGTTCCTGGCTCTCAGCTTCTCAGAGAGGATGTGTGAATCACACCACAGTCATAAGATTGATACTAAGTACCAGGTATTCATTCCCTGGGAATGACTTTTTTTTTTTTTTTTTTTTTGAGATGGAGTGCAGTGGTGTGATCTTAGCTCACTGCAACCCCCGCTTCCCAGGTTCAAGCGATTCTCCTGCCTCAGCCTCAGCCTCTGGATTAGCTGAGATTATAGTCACCTGCCACCATGTCTGGCTAATTTTTTTTTGTATTTTTAGTAGAGATAGGGTTTCACCATGTTGGCCAGGGTGGTTTCAAACTCCTGACCTCAAGTAATCCACCACCTTGGCCTCCCAAAGTGCTATGATTACAAGCATGAGCCACCGTGCCCGGCCAAGGCAGATCATTCTTTTCTTGAGGCCCGAGCACCTATGGCCAGGGTATCAACTAAGAGACTTTGGATGCTTGGTAAGCAGAGAATCAAGGCAAGATAGGGTAAAAGCTTTAGAGCAACTGTATCATTTAGGTTACATAGGGTAGATGGACTACCCCTACAGCAATGTCTATCACTCTAGGGATAATAATCTTTATCCTTCAAATTCAGTCCTTTTCCTTTATTTTTATAGAGATGAGGTTTCACTGTGTTGCCTACACTGCTCTCAAACTCCTGTACTCAAGCAATTATCCCACCTTGGCGGCCCGAGGAACCAAGATTACAGGTGTGAGCCAGCACACCATGTCAGTCTTTCTCCTTTAACAAAATCCTGCCAACAGCTTGTTTTGAGGTTCCCATTTTTAGACTCCACACAGGCCAGCCCTTCTACTAGCACTGTCTTTCTGAAAAGAGCAAACAAGTGATTATTCACTTTCCATAATTCACTAGTTCTCCATTGCCACGACCTTAGTCTGCATTACCATCTCTCACCCGGATTCTTTTTTCTTTTTTTCTGATTTCCTTGGCAACTGCTAAATCGCCTGGGTTCTTGAAATGGCCTCCCAACTGCACTCCCTCCTTCCATTTCCCCATTAAATTTATTCTCGGCTGGGCGCAGCCTGTAATCCCAGCACTTTGGGAGGCCGAGGCGGGTGGATCATGAGGTAAGAAGTTCAAGACCAGCCTGGCCAAGATGGTGAAACCCCCGTCTCTACTAAAAAAAAAAAAAAAGACAGGCATGGTGGCAGGCGCCTGTAATCCCAGCTACTCGGGAGCCTGAGGCAGGAGAATTGCTTGAACCTGGGTGACAGAGGTTGCAGTAAGCCGAGGTTGTGCCACTGGGTAATAGATGAGATTCCATCTCAAAAAAAATTTTTTTTTATTCTCCAGATAGTAGTGAGAAGGACTGTCTGCTCAAAACTCTGCAATTCTCTGCTCAAAATCCTGCAATAGCTTATTCTTTCATTCTGACTGAAAGTCTTTTAACTAAAAGACTGCATGATGGCATGGATTTGCACTCCCCCTCTTCCTTACTCTTTCCACAACCTCTTACCATTCTTCAGGTGTGATAAGCAATGGCCAATCTCAAGGCCTTTGCACTTGTTCACTCTGATTGGCAGTTTCCCCAGATATCCACATGGCTTCTTCTCTTACTATTTTGGGGGTCTCAAATGCCAGTTAATCTGAGGCTTCCTTGACCAACTTATGTAAAGCAGCACCCCCCGCACCAACATGCTGTATTGCCTTTTTCCTCCTTTTTCTTCATAGCACTTATCACCACCTCCACTTTTACTATTAAAATTTTGCTTATTGGCCAGGCGCGGTGGCTCAAGCCTGTAATCCCAGCACTTTGGGAGGCCGAGGCGGGTGGATCACGAGGTCAAGAGATCGAGACCATCCTGGTCAACATGGTGAAACCCCGTCTCTATTAAAAATACAAAAAATGAGCTGGGCATGGTGGTGCGTGCCTGTAATCCCAGCTACTCAGGAGGCTGAGGCAGGAGAAT